GGTCGACGCCAGAACCACCTCCGATGGGGGCACCGACGGTCAGGCTTACGCCTAGGGGCCATGGAAGGCCACTCCGACCGCCAGAACGGGCTGCCGTGCGTCGGAAGCTTGGCCTCGGAGGTCTCCGTTCCCGGCCCGCGCGTACGTGTTTGGTACTCAAGCCAGCGAAACGGCCAGCCATTCGTCGCAATTCGAGCGCTTGTTTTTGTCACGTATAGCCACCGGGCGTCCCTGGCCGCTAGCCAAAAACGCGCAGTTTAGACGGGGGGCGCGTCGGCCATCGGACGCCGTCGCCGGAGCAAAGCCCCGCTTGGCTGAAGTGGGGACAGGGCGCTTATCCAGGGGGGTTCGTGGGGTAGCTGAAGTGGGGACACTGTCCCCACTTCAGGATGAGGCGCGGACAGGCCAAGTCTTGCGATGTGTGTGCGCCCCCTGGAGGCCCACCGGCGGTCACACCGTGTCGAAGGGGTTCATATGGACGCCGCTGACCCGCGGCGCGCTGCAATTCGGTGCCGGCGGCGCGAGCCGCAACGGTTTCGGACCGAGCGCGACGCCGTGACGCCGGGTCCAGATCGGCGCCCGCCGACGCCGTGGACCGTACCCGCGCCCCACACACGCCCACCGTATGTTGATCGACGTGCTCCGCCGAAAGATCGTTGGAAATCGCTGGGAATCCGGCCGCGGCGCGCCGCGAACTCGCTCCGCCGTAGCGCGACACCGTGGCGCCGAGGGCCAGGGCGGCGCCCGCCGACGCCGTGGACCGTACCGGCGGCCCAGACACGCCCACCGTATGTTGGTCGACGCGCTCCAACAACAAATTGTTGGAAATCGCTGGGAATCCGGCTGCGGCGCGCCGCGAACTCGCTCCGCCGTCGCGCGAGGACGCGCCGCTCGGCCGTCCGCGCGCAATTTTGCATCGACCGATCACCATCGCTGTGTTCCGTCGGATGCATCGGCATCGTGGAGCTCGTCGAAGTCGACCCTCACGGTTTTGGACGACCGCGCGCCGCGCGACGCTCGCCGAGATCGTCGCGGCCGAGAACCAGCGGACGGCCACCGCGGCCCTGATGCGGCCGCGTCCGCGCCTCGCTCGGGGCCTCTGTCGGTCGCGCGTCCATCGCCAGTTACGAACGTCGCCGCGGGCTGCTGGGCAGATGCAGACAGAGCCTTTTGGCACGCCCAGGGTCCCAAAACGGCTGTATTTTTACCTAAATTCATGCCAATATGGCTCGTTTGAGCGGCACAGCTTGGCCCAGCTGGCTTTTCTGCCAGCCCCGTTGTGTTTCTTCTAACTACGCCTCTGGAGCCTCGCGGCTCTTCCTGGGCTTGCTGGCCGCAGGCCAACTCCTTTTTTGGGCCAAACAGGCCAATTTGTGGCAACTTCTCAGCACAGGACCACTCATGATGATGGCGCTTCGATACTACTCTCAGTGAGCTCGAGGGACGTAGCAAGGTCCCCACCTTCTTTCTTTTACGCCTCCGGCGCCTTCGGCGCCGGTTTTTTTCTTTGCGTTTCCCTCTTTTTTTCTCTTTTTTTTGTCATGAAAAAAGACGCACTTTTTCGTTAACAACGAAGCTATGTACGAACGCCAGGTCGGATGGCTAGAAGCTCGGGAAAAAAATACATTATCCACCACCACTCTTTTGCGCTCAAAGGACGAGATCGATCATACGTTTCAGCCCAAACTAATCTCGAAGACCTCTCGCGGAACCCATGCTAGCACCCCGAAAGTGCTTCATCGAGGTTACCATCAAAAGAAGAGTGGCTTGGTTGCGCACGATGTGCACGCACGTCGTTACGCCAGGGCGAGGGGAGGCAGAAATCCATCCTTCCGGCAAAATGATAATCTTGAGGCGCTATTTGTAGTCCAACTTCTAACTTATTTTTTAATTCCAGATATCCCCTAAAGCGCCACGATTGGCCGGACATGACATGGTTTCATACCACGAGTGGAGTGGCTATGCTGAGCTATACTCAAAAACCTCTTCTTATTTCTTCTCACAGGTGATTATCAGAGCACGCACAACTGTGACTTACGTAACTCTCGTGCCTCAAACGTCCTGACTATCTCTCTGTGTCCTAACATGAAGTTATTGACATATCAGACCTATCAGGGCTCGGAAGACGATGATATTGACCGTGAGGAGTCTCCCAAAGAGCAATGAATCCTTATTCGAAGGCTGACTTAGGAAGTACGCCAGGTCATTTTTTGTTCAGCTTCAGCGTGAAAGGAAGCACTGGGAGAAAGAGCAATCTAAGCTCATCGCAGTCATTGAGCTCCAGCAGCATGAACTCCATGCGTAAGTGCGCACATTAAATAGCAACTGGTTACTATGATTCAATTAGGCGAGGACGTAAAGTCGAAGACAGGGCCTACAAAGTCGCCCAGACATTTGTCTGGAACTGTGCCTTTGCTGACACAACTTGCACGATATCGATGAAGATAGGCCGATTCCGTTGCCTCCTTTGAGGATCGCTTCGTGAGTATCCTGTTTTGGAGCCGCCAATCACATGGCTCCACTTCAGGTCAAGATTCAGCGTGATGTCGCCGCGGAAGTTTCCACACTACGAGAGCTTGCCGAACGCCTCGAGAGCCAAAAGCCCACCACATTTGAACCTATTGAGGAGCGTGATCACGCAGGGCAAGAAAAATAAGATACGATAATGATGTGCCGGTCAATTTCCTGTGAGCAGGTCTGCAGAGCATCGAAGCTGCTATTCGCACTATTTCCGTCAAGCTTGATGCGGCAATGGCCTAGTATGCCCTTCAGGGCAGATGCAGATGCGGGCAGTAATGGCACGACAGCAGGGTCCACGCCCCACATAGAGAGACAGAGGGAGCTCTGTACCCCTAGCCTGAGAGGCTCGCTGGTGCAGGGCCTCGCTTGGGGCGCCCCCCCCGATTACGACGCGCAGTCCAGTACTGCCCCTCTGTGTAACTGGTGTTAGAATCCGAGTATGCTAGTATGAAGCACCAGCATAGTATAGCATGAGCATAGGCAGTATAAGGCAGACTGAGCATAGCCAGCATGGGCCAGTATGAGCGTCCCAGCATAGGGAGGATAGCATAGTCCCGAGTTAGGGTAGCATAGCCCAAGGAGCGGAATGTAGGCTCCCTAGGTAGCTGGCTTATCGCCAAGCGCACTTTGATTGTGCTTAATCACACTCGCGTTCTAAGGGCGATATTCGCCGCTTTATCATGGTAGCAGGTGCACTGTGATCGCAACCAAAACCGAAATACACACGGGCGACACTCGCACTACACACACGAAACGCACACGCGAATTTACAAACAAAACCCGCGACGAACAAAGCCCCAACGGCGAGCATGAGCCTCAGAACTGAATCCAGCAGATGGACTAACCAAACTGCTCTCGGGGAACAAATTCTCTGTGTCATATGAACAGATGATGAACGATCCGATAGCGGAAGCGTCCACCCAAGACATGGAGACGACATAGTATCGAGCATCATCCAAGATAACGCAACGCGTCTATCGGAAAACCTGCAAGCCGAACGGATCACCAAATCACAACACAAACTTTACCAAAGGATACTGAAAAGAAAAAGTATATACCGTGTTAGAATCCGAGTATGCTAGTATGAAGCACCAGCATAGTATAGCATGAGCATAGGCAGTATAAGGCAGACTTAGCATAGCCAGCATAGGCCAGTATGAGCGTCCCAGCATAGGGAGGATAGCATAGTCCCGAGTTAGGGTAGCATAGCCCAAGGAGCGGAATGTAGGCTCCCTAGGTAGCTGGCTTATCGCCAAGCGCACTTTGCTTGTGCTTAATCACACTCGCGTTCTAAGGGCGATATTCGCCGCTTTATCAACTGGCAGTGCGTGCCAGTGAGGCCATGTAGCCTAGGTTGGAAGTTACGTGGCGGCGTTCTTTACGTGAGAGAACTGGTAGGACTCTGTGGTCGCCGCAGTGCCAAAAACAACCGACGCCTAGACACGCCCGTACGAAATAAGAAAATAATATTTATTAATTAAATCCGGCCAGCGGCCGAGGGACGTGTACTAGACCTCCTGAAAATTTGCCGCGCGCGCGCGCGCGCGCGGGTCTAGTGCGGGTTGAAAGTCAAATTTTCGCGAAAAACGATCCTCACGCCCGAGTGTCTCAAAATGTACGACGCTACCGCACTCACAACGCCAGCCCCGGCGAAAGGGCCCCACTTTCGAGCGGTGTACGACACCCTTACTTCAACTTGTATGTTGAACTTGGCAACTTTTTTGTGTTGAACTTCAAGATACAAACCCCCAGGCGTTTCGTTTCAAGCTTTTGTTTTTGACACTGGGTCGCCGGATCGTGTCCAATGGACGCCGCTCCTATTTTGGGCAACTCCCCATAGGACGACTGGCAAGTCCCAGGCAAAACCCCGCGCAAAACGAGCGCCGTGGCGACCGTGGTTGAAGTTACGTTGAACCCTAGTTATCTTTCTTGGTGTATGCTAGTAAAATATAATATTATTGGTTTTGAGCTGAGCTCCTTTTTGGTAGGGAGATGAGGTCCTTCTTGGTTTTGATCCTAAATTAAATTATTTTGGGAGTGAGAATGAACGATCCAGGGGCCATCAAACGAGCATTGCGATTAAAGCGTGCGCGGATGCTTGTATCTCAGGGTCGGTTTCAAAGAAACGGTGATGCTTTGCCTGCCACGGCTTCAGTTCCGATGACAGAATCTGTTGCTGTGATGCCGCCGCGGGGAGTAGGCGGTAATTGTTTTCCAAACAATGCTGCTTCTATGAATTCAGCTGATATTGGCCGCACTCGCGGTCGTGGTGATGGTTCTCGTGGGCGTGGTCGATTCGTCAGTGGGCTAGGGCGTGGTGCTGACCGTCGGGGTCGACCAGGCGCCGCTCGAACACCTCGGGTGGTTGTGCCTGTGGCGCCGAAGTCATCGGTACGGTCACAGACGCTGATGTTTGCGGAATATGGAGGAACCCCCCGGAAGATCTGGCAGCCAAAGTCCGCACGGGCCCTAGATATGGAAACATCACAACAGGGCCCTCTGCCGGCAGAGCCGGATGCCCCTGTGATGGCACTGCCTGGTGATGATGATGTCGAGCGACCAACACTCCCGATTCACATGGTTGATGTATATGACACGCTGGGCGAACTAGGTAAGGGCCAGTTTGGTGTGGTATCGCAGGCAGTACGGCGCAAGGGTGGCGGGGGACGGGAGGTTGTGGCTATTAAGATGCTGAAGTTTGATTTCGAAAAGGAAGGATTTCCTCTGGAAGCATTACGCGAAATAACACTGCTTTCTTCATTGCGGCACCCTAATATCGTGCGAATGCACGCAGTGGCATGTGATTCAGGTGAAGCACCAAGCAAATGGCACCTTGTGATGGAGCCAGCAGGCCATGAGTTGACTAAACTGGTAAAGGGAGCACGGCGGCGGCCCATGACTGAGGCTCAAGTCAAACACCTCATGCTCCAACTTCTGCGTGCGCTGGCCGCGCTCCACAGCGTTTGGGTTATGCACCGCGATCTGAAGACACCCAACGTTCTAGTTGATGACAAGGGTGTACTGCGGCTTTGTGATTTCGGCCTGGCCCGACGAGTTTGTTGCGGATTGGAGCTTGATGCGATGCACAATGTGTCTTGTATAGCCGATACCTTGGGCACACATAATCTCAGCAAATGGAAAGTCTTCACAGAGAATGAAATCAACATGACAACCACAAGTGATCGCACTGCTGATAGTTCGGCCATGAGGAGGCCCAGTGATTTGTATGCGACGCACACTCCAAATGTCATATCTGGCCACTATCGCCCCCCGGAAGTTCTTCTTGGCTGTCGCGACTATGGTCGCTCGGTTGATCTTTGGTCGGCCGGGTGTATCTTTGGCGAGCTCCTTTCAAGGCAGATTCTCTTTGCTGGCAAAGATGAGCCAGATCAGCTCCGCGTAATTTTTTACCTTCTTGGTGAACCTTCTAGCACAGAATGGCCTCTTTATCCGTAGAGATCTGCGTCGTCACCACAATTTTGATTATTAATTATGGTTACAGTTTTGTCACGTTTTAGTATCCTTGAGGAGAATCTTTTTAGGCAACTCGCGCGGCTCCGGGGCTTTCGATATGATCCTCCAGCCCAGATGCCATGTCCCTTGGCAAGAGGCGGGACTGACCACCTCCGCCGTAAATTTCCCGCAACTGGTTTCGATGGAACACATGCGCCTCTGAATGCCATGTCCCTTGTCACACCCCTCACTCACGTTACCACAAGCTTGAATAATTTGGGCTTCTCCCTCTTCTCCAGACTACTTGAGAAGTGCCCTGAACGTCGTGTCACAGCTGAAGATGCAAAGCGTGACCGATGGTTCACATCACGGCCCTCTCCAGAGGCTCTTAGTATCACTGACATCATGCCTCTTTTACAGCTTGCTAAGATACAGGACGTAGCGGCCCAACATGTTCCCCAGTTTGCACCAACAGGCTTTTCAAATCAAGCACTCCCACCTCTCGTCATGTTAGCTCAGGCGGCGGGGAATGCTGCAGTCAGCCCCCTTCTGTCTCTGTCGCTAGGCTTATCCCACGGCGCGCCTACTAACCAACAGACCACCACCCCAGTCCATGGTTCGCAAACTGCAGCTGCTGCGCTTGCAGTTGCCCGTGCCCGCGCGCTCACGCTCGCAAACAACCCCTGATCCGGCCGCCAGCCCACCCTGTCTATTCTAGAACGGAGCCTTCAAGGTGGGCCCGGAAAGAACTGGTTTGATATTATGTACACCAGCCAGTGTCATGGGCCTTATCCAGGTCTCCCGAGCCCGCGGGAAATATGACGCCATCTAGTTGGGACCCCACCCGGGAGCCTGACGCCTGAATAAAGCCCGAAGCCGCCGACCCCCAATTTTCGGGGACGTTTCGGGTTCCCTGGGGCCCCGTCCGGCGAAAGGGGGGGGGGGGGCTGGGGAGGGGGGGTTCTGGGCGGGGTTCTGCCGTCGGTCGCGGCCGGCCTACTAGGACAAACCATACGGAGCTTGGGCACTAGAAATAAATGGCTAATTTCGCAATGGACGCGCCTCTACGATCCCTGCGACTGCATTTTGGCTCGAGGGAGGGTGTGCGTTGGCACGATTTTGGAGAAGAGTGGTGAGATTAAGACTGCCAAGTTTCAGGTTTCGCTTCGCGCGTTTGTTTTCTTCCTCTTCGCTTTCGCCTCTGCGCCCACTTTTGAGGGGGAGAGATTCCTGGCGAGGGTAAGACCGCCGAAGACGTCGCAATGCAAGCCGAGGAAATGATAGCCGAAGCGAGAAAGAAGGACAAGCGACACGCCACCCATAAAGAGCTTACTAAGTTAGGGGACGGTTGGACTTTGTTAGAATCCGAGTATGCTAGTATGAAGCACCAGCATAGTATGGCATGAGCATGGCCAGTATAAGGCAGACTTAGCATAGCCAGCATAGGCCAGTATGAGCGTCCCAGCATAGGGAGGATAGCATAGTCCCGAGTTAGGGTAGCATGGCCCAAGGAGCGGAATGTAGGCTCAGTCGAGTCTGAGATGACAGAGGAAGAGCCGACGCAGGCTGCGGTTTTCTGACGTCCTAGTTGCGTTCTAGCGACGTCCTGGCGCGTTCCGGCGGCGTCCCGGCTGGCGTCCTCGGCGTTCCGGCCGTTCTCAGGTCGCGTGGGTCCGGTGGGCCCCCCGGGCCTCCTTCGGAGAGGCGTTCGGAGATTACCTGTACACTCTCTATATCTACCATCTATCAAAGAAGATTCTTTTCCAACTGAATCCTGTCTCGATGTCGGCACCGCTACTAGAGTCATCGGATTATTACGCTCTTTGTCGGCCGGCAGTTCCAGCTGTAGATGATGGCCATCGGAAGAGCTTAAGGGTGCAGACTCGCAGCTTCAAACCTTCAACGAGTCGTGATGCTGAACGGACAGGCGACGCTGGCGTGCCAAAATGGAAATGCTATGAATGTGGACACTACGCAAGTGGCGTGAAGCGAGGAAGCCTGGCCCAATCACCTCGTAGACCTCCGCGCGTGTCCGTAATGTGGCAGACTCTCATGTCTACGATCTTGCAGCGCATTGATGTGTTTCTGCATCCAGCAAACACATCAAACGGTTGCGAGAAGGGATGGAAGGCTCGAGCTCGGGCACTATGCCACAATGCGGTCCTCGGTTGCAATACAGAAGATGCTGCAACGCTTTCCTTGCGTCGACATGCGGAAGGGATGCTCTGCAAACTTGATCAGGCTGTACTGATGCGAGTATCGTTGCTCTCAAATCGACTTAAAACCAGCAAGAGGTTAGACCAGCAAGGTTGGTGGCCAGGTGTTGCGCTGGCAGCGCCTAGTCCCGATGTCGCATACCTCAAGGCGCACTTGGAACTGCTCGAAGAGCTATTTGCAGTCGACTTTGAGGATTTAGAAACCAAAGGGGATCTGAAGAAACTGGTGTTTGATTTGCGCGTGGAGCTTAACAAGGAGCGAAGCACCATGGCATCTCTGCAGCGGACATACATACGGGAAGTGAAGCGAACCGATTTTCTTGAGACACTCTTAAATGCCAGCAATAACGAGCACCTGGCTCTATTGGACGAGCTGCGCGGCCTCAAGAAAGAATTGATGTTCGAGAAGGAGAACGCCCTGCAGCAGGGGAAATCAACTGAGGGTATCGAAGAGGGCGCGCGTCTACTCATCGAAAGCCTGAGAAACGACAAACGGCGGCTTGAAGGGCAAATGCGAAATGCATTGAATACTGGTGACATCATGGCAGCATCTCTATCATCTGCTCACATCGAATGTGATCGGTTGTGCCTTCTTAGGGATTACGCAAAATGTAAAGCGCATGAGGCAAACATGCGCGCAGAAATCGCTGAGCAATCTCTGATTCATGATGAGCAACATCTCAAAGAACTTGAAGCGACCTTAGAAAAGTTGGGTGATGCACGTGCTCAAATTCGAGCCTTGGCCACACAAAAGGTTGATGATGAGAGGCAAATCATCATCGAGCGACAATTGCGCGAACAAGCAGAGCTTCGAGCAACCAAATTTGAAAGGGGGTTCATAGACGCTCAAGCGCGAGCAAACAGCGAGCGAGAGATCGCCGAAAGTTTCAAAGCGGAGATCGTAGTTCTACGACAAGATCTTCAGAATGCTAAAGATGCGCTGAAAACTCGCAAGGCTGTGAATAACATTCCAAAAATGCCTTTCAATTTAGATCGAGTGCTCCGCGAAGAGCTGGAAACAGTATCAGCACATTTCTTAGGCAAGCTTGCTCAGGTGAGCCAGGATGCTGAAAAGACAGCAGCTCAGCACCAGGAGGAAATTTCGCGCCTCCAATGCCATGCACACTGTATATCCGAAGCGGGGGGGCATTCAAAGAAATACAAGGCAGCACCTTCGCCCGCACCTATATCCAAAAATCAACTAATATTAGAGCCTGCTCTCCACAATATCACGCATGCAGCCTTGTCGATAGAGGCGGAGGCCGATGCGGGACACGATCGAACAGCCAAAAACTGGGCTGTGCGGCAGAAGATTCTGGATGAGACAGAACCTGTGGAAAAATCGAAGGTCAAGTGGGACTTTCGAGCAAGACAATCAAAGCTTCCCTCGAAGGATCATTTCGAAAACCTCCCTTGTACCAAGCCCCGTGTCCTAATGCCCAAAGTGGGCAAGATCGTCGACTCACCGGTCCAACGCACCGAGGCTAATTTGCCGGTCCACCAAGCACTAGCCGAAGCTTCTATGGTCACATCGCAGAGCTAGTCTAGACTCCCATATGGGGGAAACCATGATCTAGTCCGACATACTTTCGGCGCCCCGCGTCG